ATCTCCAACATCTTCCGCCTCATCAGAACAACCTCCCACTTCATCATCCCCAACGTCCTCTACCTCATCATCTCCAATTCCTTAAATATAGTTACTATTTGTTACACTAAAAATTATTAATTTTGATCTGCAAATTTGTAATCATTGATTTGAAATTTTTTGTGTAAAAATAAAAAAGTATAAATACCACAAGAAAAAATGTAGATAAAAATTAAAATTAAAAAAATAAAATAAAAAGTAATTAGTAAAAATGAATAATTTATTATTTCAAAAACTTGATAAATCAATCCTCAAAAACTTTAAATCTGGTGGTAAATTTGAATTAAGAAAATCTGGAGACAGAGGTAAAAAATTTCTTCTTATTCTTCAGTATTCATCGACATTATTAGCATTATTAACGCATATATTTGTATTTAGGACATGATAATCACGGATGGTTAGATACTTATCATACTTTTTCATTTGCAAGTTACTTTGATCCAAAATATCAAAGTTTTGGATCATTACGTGTAATAAATGAAGACATAGTAAAACCAAATACTGGTTTCGGTGCTCATCCACATCGTGAATTTGAAATTTTTTCTTATATTATTTCCGGCGAATTACAACATAAAGATTGTAAGCAGCTTTTTTCTTTATTTTCCAAATTATTAGAAACTAATCATTAAACAATTTAATAAATTAATTCCTAATTATTATTATTATTATTATTATTATTATTTTAATTCTTTTCAACAGCGATGGGAAATGTAGAAATATTAAAGCGTGGCGATATACAATTCACTACTGCTGGTACTGGAATCACGCATTCCGAATATAACATTCATCCATCTAAATCTGTTCATTTCTTACAAATTTGGGTCAAACCTAACCAATCTCATCTCAAACCTGCCTATTATACCAAGTCTTTTCCCGATACGGTGAAACTAAATAATTTAACGCATACAATCTCTCCATTCAACGACAAAGTTCACAATGGTGATGTTGATGAAAATTCAAAAAATACTATTGGAATACACTCTGATTTTCATATGTTTGCAAGTTTATTAGAACCTAATAAAAAAGTTGCGCATATTATTCAAAAAAATGACATCTACAATTTCACAAGTAATGGTGACGTTGATAAAAATAACAATGATAGTAGTAGTGATATTAGAACAGTATATGTTCATGTAACATCTACCGGTGGTGAATTAAAAGTTAACGATGACGAGGATCAATTGACGTTGAAGCCAGGAGACGGAGTCTTCATAACAGATGTTAA